CATGAGTTCAATTTCAACAAATCAACCATGTATTTTAATAAGGGGCCTTTAAATAAAACTCATATAAAACAAGTTTATGTGTAGATCAGTTGACGAAAATGTGATTCGATATTGGCTAAATCAGCATTCACAGTGGCTTTAGAGAACATAACTACCACCTATAACGGAAATTGACCATATATATCTTTGTAGAGATGTTCTGAGCATGTACCAGCTTACATATCTCTTTCTATTTGCTTATACCTTCCACACACACATAAATGTGTGCACATTTTAGACACTATTCTGCATGTTGATTTTTATACCTGGCAATATGTCTTGGTGATTGTCTTCTGTTAGTTTGCCCCCTAAGAAGTAGACACTGAAACAGCATTAGATATAAAAGAGATTTCTTGGGGGAAGACCTGTGAGGGAAAATTGAACAGGAAGCTTGGGGAGTCTAGGACAACTGTTGAATTCTGATGCAGGTCTGACTCTGAGTAAAGAAGAGAATGGATTAAGGAAGGTTGGGTGGAAAAGTCCTAGCTTGCAGTATAGTTCTAGGAAGGTTCAGGAAGGCTGTTGGGGCAGTCCTCTAGTTAAAGTCACCTGCCTGAGGAGTCCTGTGCCTCCCAGGAGTGGGTCTGCACTGATATCCCCACTGGGTGCAGCCTGGGGTCAGTATGGCTTTGGTGCCATTACAGTGATGAATTTCAGAATGCAACAGCTGAGGCTGTTGGCCAATGGCGTTCACTGTGGGAAGAGATCTGAGAAGTGCCAGCTCATGACTGCCATATCCTCTGTTGCTACAGTCATGCTACCTCATTAATTTTAATAACTAAAAAAAGATTCTGATGAATAGATTTATCCACGTCGATTGAATCAGTCCTGACGAGTGGGGAGTTTCTAATCTCTTGCTATTACAAACAACACTATGGTGGAAAATCTTATACACGAGTCCTTTTTCAAGAGTGTGTCTGCTACATGACAACTCAAAGAAGAATCATTGCAGCAAAGCATTTCTGAATTTGTAACTTTAACAAATATCATCAAATTGTTCTTCGGAGTATGTACCGTTACAGGTCATCCTCCTCCAACCCAACCATGCATGAGAGCAGCTGACTCCTACACTTTCACCAACACAGTACGTGATCAAGTTTTTAATCTCTGACTACCTGCTGAGTGGGAAATGGTATGCTGAAGTTTTATTTGAGGTTTCTTTTATCATGGTTGAGGTTGACCATCTTTTCATACATATGAGAGACTATTCGTGTTTCTTTTCTGTGGACAGTTGGTATTTAAATTTGCTTGAGCTGTATGCTATCTATTCCTTCATTTGAATTTAAACCCTAGAAGGACAAAGGCTATGCTTGATTCTTACTGTCGTACGCCATCATCTAGAACACACCTGGCTCAGAGCTGGGGGATTGCACGGACAACCACAAGGCTGGCAAAGAGCAGTGCTGGAAATTGAACCCAGTTTGCTTGGTCCTCAATGTACTGCCAGACACAGGGTACCAGGTGGTTTATGTTAAACATCCCTTTTATCTCTCACTGCCTTTGCATGCATCGTTTCCCTATCTCGGCCCATGACAAGACCATGGCTCTGAAGATAACAAGAAGTATCAACCTTCATGTCACATGACTCCGGAATAGAGAAAAATGCATTTGAGCTAAGGATGAGTAGATTGGAAAGTTGGTGCAAATCAAGACAGAACAGTTTGAGTTTTAACAGATGGCCCAGTTTCCAGAGGCAAATTCAACTCATCAACCTACCCTGGGAATTTCCTCTGGGCTGAAAAGCCAGGTTTGATTCCAAGAAATATATACATTGCAGTGTGATTAAGCAAGAGAGCAGTGTTCTTGGAGCCACAGCACCATGTGGTCAGTATTTGGGAGACATCCACTTCCTGACAGTAAACAGATTTAAATGCACCATCTGTTTTGCAGTTATTTTTCTGGACCCATTTTTAGTCAGCTTCTCTCTCTAATTTTCAGGTTCTGACAACCTTTTTTTCTTTTTCTTTTTGTTCCTTAAAATGACATAAACCAGTATTTGCTTTTTTTTCATGTACCAGGCTTGATTATTTTGAGTTCATTTATATACCTTCATTTGTTCCATAAAACTTAATAAGCAACACTTTTTTTTCTGTTGATTTTGTCATCAGTTACAATAAATAAGAACTTACAAAATAGTGTTTAATTTTGTCCTTTAACTGGTGGAAGGATATATATATTAGAGACATAAAAAAGAAAATTGATATGCAGGAGATGAGCAAAATTTAATCATGTACTCTTAAATTCTGTTAACTTTGGATAATTCTATTTATGTTTTTCTTTTAGGACATGAGAAAATTCCTTTGGGCAATTTCTTACAAGAGGGTCATTTATTATGTGTCTCATGACAATTTGACACTTCAGGACAGAAAATATGGAGGCCTTGGAAACCTCTTGTTGTTCATCCTGAGAACTCTTGGGTGTATGCAAATTTCCAATGATGATAGAATGAATGAGCTCAGTTTTGGGGTTCTGTTCACAGAGGCTTTATGAAACTTGAAAAGTCGATTTTTAAAAATGTTTATTTTCCATTGTTTTTATTTTTCACTATAAAAGTACTGCTTGTTTGCATAAGGAAAATCAATTCCCCTCAGCATTCCATAACCATGTTAAAAGACTTGCTGTGTGTTCTGTTAGTCTTTCTGTTTCTGTAGCTGCCTCATGTCCTGCTGTGGTTTTTCTAATTATATACTGAAAACTGCTCCTCATCCAGTGCCTAACTTCTCTATTTTTAATTCCCTTGCTGATTCTCACCCAGTGCAATTTGGGCAAGTCACTTTATCAGCCTGTGCCGTAGGGTTTATCAACCTGTACCACATGTAGGTTTCCAACACCCTCCTTCATTCATGCTATCAGTCAATTTTTATTATATGCCACATGTCCTGGGCCACTGCTTTCACAATTTCCAGGAGACCACATCCCCTGAGTATCAGTCCTGAACTGCTAATATCATTTTCATCCTCAATCACACACTTGGAAATCTCCACAGGGTGGGTTGGACCACGGACCACATCAGCATCTGACATGTTATAAACTCGGCACCCCAACCAAAACCTTTCCTTTAACACTCTTTTGGGGGAACCAATGTGTCTCCAAATTAACTATTGAATGCTTATTTGCTGAAAGCCAAGTTTCCAAATGATCACATTGTTAAAATATCCCAATTCGCTGTCTTGTTCCAAGGTTTTTCTTAGAAAATAAAGTTGAAACATTTCACTTATTTGAATCAACAATACTACTTAATGAATATCTTCGGGACATTTACTATAGACCAGGTGCAGTTCTCATGTCAAGATTAAAATAGTAAGACAGCATAAATTCTCATCCTACAGAATGTCCAGCCAAGTGGAGGAAATAGTCGAGAAGTACACAAATAGGGTAGAAGACCTAAATAGATATTTCTCCAAAGAGGAAATACAGATGGTCAATAGACATATGAAAAGATTCTTAAGATCACTAATCATCAGAGAAATACAAATTAAAACCACAATGAGATATCACCTCACACCTATCAGAATGGCTATCATCAATAAATCAAAGAACAAGTGTTGGTGAGGATGTGGAGAAAAGGGAACCCTCATACATTGTTGGTGGGATTGCAAATTGGTACAGCCACTATGGAAAGCAGTCTGGACGTTTCTCAAAAAATTAAAAATGGATCTACCTTTTGACCCAGCAATAGCACTTCTGGGTATTTGTCCAAAGAAATAATAATTTGTAAAGATCTATACGCCCCTGTGTTCATGGCAGTACAATTTACAATAGCCAAGATATGAAAGCAACCTAAATGCCCATCAACAGACAATTGGATAAAGAAGTTATGGTTCACATATATGATGGAATATTACTAAGCCATTAAAAAAGTGAAATCTTACCATTCGCAACAACATGGATAGACCTAGGGGTTATCACGCTGAGTGAAATAAGTCAGACAGAGAAAGATAAATACCATATAATTTCACTTATATGTAGAATCTAAGGAACAAAAAAAACCAACCTAATCAAAAACACACTCACAAATATAGAGGACAATCTGGTGACGGCCAGAGGGGAAGGGGTTGAGGGACTGAGAGAAAGGGGTGAAGGGTTAAAGAAGTATAAATTGGTGGTTGATAGATGGTCACAGGGATGCGGAGCACAGCATAGGAAATGTAGTCAACAGTAATGTAATGGCTATGTGTAGAGCCAGAGGAGAGAAAGAGCAATCGGGAGATCATTTCATAAACTACATAAATGTCTAACCAGTGTATTATATACCTGGAACTAATAAAATAAAAAAATTTTAAAGTACATTATAATACATTAATAACATTAGGTAGTCATAAAAAATATAGCGTGAGGTAGTGAAAGAAGGCAGACAATAAATAGTATAATTAATATAATATAATAATATATAATGTAGTATAATATATGATATACATAATGGTATAGTATGTGATATATGATGTAACATGTAACATAAAAATGTAATATACTATTATATGTAATAATATATAATACAATATATGATATAACATGATATGTAATATAATAATATAATGTAATATAATGTTATATGGAATAATATAATATATAATATAATGGAATATAATGTTGTATGGAATATAATAACATGTAATCATGTGGTATATAATAATGGAATATTTAATATAGTATAATATATGTGTAATAGAATCATATAATGATATAATGTAATATGTAATAATATAATGAGGTAATGTAATGTCAGGTAGAGAGAAATGAAGCAGGTTGAGGGGTAGAGAGTGAGGACCAGAACTGTTTATGTGCATAGACAGGAAGTGACAAGTGAACTGAAACTTGCAAGATGTGATCAATTCTGCCGTTGCAACATTTGGGGGAAGGGCAGAGGGAAGAGCAAGTGCAAAGGCTCTACGTGGAGATATATAGTGTGTTCAAGAAACAGAAAGGAGGCTTTGCAGATGCCACCGCTCCAGAGCCATTAGTCTCAAGCCTTGGTCAGCTCAACTGTGTTCTTTGACATTGCCGTTGACTGCAAGCCCTTGGGCTGCATCTCCTTTGAGCTGTTTGCAGACAAAGTTCCGAAGACAGCAGAAAACTTTCATGCTCTGAGTACTGCGGAGAAAGGATTTGATTATAAAGATTCCTGCTTTTACAGAATTATTCCAGGATTTATGTGCTGGGGTAGTGACTTCACATGCCATAATGGCACAGGTGGCAAGTCCATGTATGAGGAGAAATTTGATGACGAGAATTTCATTCCGAAGCAAACAGGTCCTAGCATCTTGTCCTTGGCAAATGCTGTACCCAACACAAACAGTTCCCAGTTTCTCATCTGCACTGCCAAGACTGAGTGGTTAGATGGCAAGCATGTGGTCTTCAGCAAGGTGAAAGAGGGCATAAATATTATGGAGGCCATGGAGCACTTTGGGTCCAGGAATGGCAAGACCAGCAAGAAGATCACCATTGCTGACTGTAGACAACTCTAATAAATTTGACTTGTTTTATCAGAAAGGAAGGAAGGAAGGAAGGAAGGAAGGAAGGATGGAAGGAAGGAAGGAAGGAAGGAAGGAACTCGATCATGGAAATTTCACTAGATGTTTGATGACATTAAGGAATTACCGTTAATAGCTGGAAGTTGGGGAGGGAGAAAGAGAGAGAAGGAAGGAAGGAAGGAAGGAAGGAAGGAAGGAAGGAAGGAAGGAAGGAAGGAAGGAAGGAAGGAAGGAAGGAAAGAAGGAAAGAAAGAAAGAAAGAAAGAAAGAAAGAAAGAAAGAAAGAAAGAAAGAAAGAAAGAAAGAAAGAAAGAAAGAAAGAAAGAAAGAAAGAGAGAGAAAGAAAGAAAGAGAGAGAGAAAGAGAAGGGACTGTGGTGTGGCAGGAGTGGAGGGTATGAGGCAGACAGTGTGGGGAGGTCAGAGCAGATGGGAGAGCACCAACAGATCACATGGGACCTTTTAGGCACGCGTGAGGAGTCTGGATTTTATTCTGAGCATGAAGAGTTTAGAGCTTGTTCTGAGCATGATGAGGAGCCCTTGGATGGTTTCACTCATCGTGGTGACATCTTACCTGCATTTTGCTTTTGCTGTATAGGGGCAGAGAGATGGGGTAACAGCTAGAGAGAGACTTGGGATCTAGAAGGCACTGCTTTTTAAGATGATAGATGTTACAGCCTGTCTGCACATTGGTGGGAATGACCTAGTATGGGGAGGAAACCGAATGGTTGATGCAGGAAAGAGAAGATGTCCAAATAACATTCCTGAGCAGATGACCAGTGATGGGATGGGACCTTCAAGGGAAGGAGCTGGAAACTGAATTTGCCAAATAGACAATCTGCCAAATTGAGTACTCACTGTAAACTAATTTCTATTAAATATTTATTCCTGTGACAGCACATAGTGCTACACGGGAAGGTGTTAATGAACCTCAAGCGTAAGTTTTTTCTTTGATGTTTTGGTTTCATTTTAGTTGAAAGTGTGTCATTTTGGTTTTGCTCTAGCTTTTGTTTCTCTCCGGCAGGTTTAGCTCAGCTTCGTAGCCTGCTGTGCAAATCTAGCCCAGTCACACATCAGATTTGGGTGTAATTCTCATTTTGGTCACGGAACACCTCTTGAATGTTTAAAACATGCCAAAAACATTTATGTGGTTGTGGTGGGTAACATATCTGAATGTTAAGAGAATTTTAAAAGGCAAAAAACAATCACGAAAATGGATTGGATGATAGAAACATGTTCTGTCATTTATAACATCCTTGACACAGAATACTCTTTGTTGAAACACCAAGAAATTCTCATTTTAAGATATAAAAAGCCTCAGAACACACTAAACTTCAATTTGGCCATGACGAAACAGCTGCAGTCAATGTAAATCTGAACTAAAACTAAACTTCCCTAAAATGAAACTAAAACCTCAAATGGAATTATTCAAGCATCGCAGATGTCTCTGTGTTCCAAACGGACTTCTGTAACTGTCAGAAATAGTTAAAAGAAACATATTCTGTTGTTTGTTGTTGTTGTTAGTTGTTGTTAAATGGAAGAATGAAGTAAATTTAGACATTTAAGGAATTAACCATGAAACAAAAATGGTCGTTTGGAGAACTGATTTTCAGTGAATTGACTTTGAGCTGGTAATGTCTAAACACCATATATCCTATATTGGGGGTTGGTTTTATAATTATCTTTAAATGTTCAGATGTATCTGCTTATACATTCCTCTCTATCTGTGATGTATTTCATTGTCAGATAAGGAAATTCCCATGGCTTACAAGGAACGGAGACCAGTTTTGAAATCAAATTGTTTGGAAAGAAGCTGATGGGCATGGAAACAGGGTATTTAGATTAAAGAGAAAAATAGGTCCCGCTGTTGCCAGATGCTGTTTCAACACATCACTCTGCTGGACTTTTGCCCCAGGCTAAAAGCAAGCTGCCATTCTAACATATACACATGTCAGGGAGGTCGGCAAAGGAACAATGTTCCCGAACACACAGCCACACGTGCTTGGCTTTCAGGAGTTCCTCTGCCCTGCAGGAAACAGACAACTCATCCATGCCTTCACACACCCTATCCTTGGAACCTTTTCTTTCAACTTATTTTTTTGTAATGTTCATATTCTAATAACCTTATCTTTCCTTCCTTCCTTCCTTCCTTCCTTCCTTCCTTCCTTCCTTCCTTCCTTCCTTCCTTCCTCTTTCTTTCTTTCTTTCTTTCTTTCTTTCTTTCTTTCTTTCTTTCTTTCTTTCTTTCTTTCTTTCTTTCTTTCTCTCCCTCTCTCTCTCTTTCTTTTTTTCTTTCCTCTTTCTTTCTTTTAAAACAAAACCTGTGTTTGTTTTTATTTACTCATGAGCTACCTTCAGTTTTCTTCCCAAATTAATTTACATGCCTTCATGTGTTCTGTAAAAGAAAAAATATCACCATTTCTTTGTTCTGGTTTTGGTCATGAAGATTGAGAACTTTCTAAACAGAATTTGCTTTTATTCTTTGACAGGGAGACATTCTGTCTTGTTCCCCAGTTTCTCAGGTGGCTGGATGCAGAAAAGACAGCTACCACTTTGAAATTGGGGAAATTTGATAATTTATTCTTAAAATCTGATAAATAGGAAACCATCTGATAAGTTCTGTTGTGTTTCCCTGTATGTTAGGACTATACAGTAGTATATCTTTCTTAAGTTTTTAGATTTCAAGACTATCTAAATAGTTTGGGATGTATTTTTTGTATTAACAATGCAGGAAGAACTTTCGAGATTCCCCATGTTTGCGCTGTGCCTCCCCACTACACCCCCGTGAATTGTGCTAACGAATTCCAGATGAAGCTGTGGAGAAAACACCAGAAGAAATTAGCTCAGTCTTTTTAATTCAAAGCCAGTTGGCTCTATGTGTAAATACATTTATTCTAAACTGTTTTGTTTTTAATTCAGAATAAATATGTACTTCTTGTAACAGAGCAACCAAATAGAGAACTCTAAAAATGATGATATATTCCTGACTCCACAACCATACCCCGATGTAACAGTATGAAAAATCGTTATCATTCTCTTCCCTTTTCTGTAGAATCACACATCAGACTCATTTTCTGATCCATTTTATTCTAATTCTTTGCTTTCATCACTTACACCTAACTTTGTGTCAATCAAAAATTATAAGGTTTTTTTTGCAAATAAACATTATCAACCCAGCATAAAAGTTTTTCTTAAAATGTTTCCTTGACCAACAGACATATGGAAAATTGCTTAACATCATTAATCATCAGACAAATGAAAAATTAAAACCACAATGAGATATCACCTCACACCTGTCAGAATAGCTATCATCAATAAATCAACAAACAACAAGTGTTGGCAAGGATGTGGAGAAAAGGGAACTCTTGTGCACTGTTGGTGGGACTGTGAATTAGTGCAGCCACTATGGAACACAGTTTAGAGGTTCCTCAAAAAAAATGAAAAATAGGACTACCTCATGACCCAACAATTCTGCTTCACGGTATTTATCTGAAAAAATCCAAAACACTAATTTGAAAAGATACATACACCCCTATGTTCACTGCAGCATTATTTACAATAGCCAAAATATGGAAGCAACTTAAGTGACCATCAAATGACGACTGGTTAAAGAAGAATACTACATGCTAGGTATGGAATCTAATCAATACATACAATGGAATATTACTCAGCAGTAAAAAAGAATAAAATCTTGTCATTTGCCACAACATTGATGGACCTAGAGGACATTATGCTAAGTGAAATAAGTCTGACACAAAAAGATGAAATAAGTGATTTCACTTGTATGTGGACTCTAAAAAAAACAAAACAAATAAACTAAACTAAACAGAAACAGACCAATAAATATAAAGAACAAGATGATGGTTGCCAAAAAGGAAGGAGTAGGAGTTGGAAATGAATGAATGAATGAATGAATGTTTCCTTTCCATTTTTATCTTATATCTTTACAATCTCTGTAAGTGCTCACTGTTACCAGCCAGGCACCCTGCTAACTGCTAATGGACATCCTTTTATTTATCTCTTCCAAGAAAACATCGGAGATATATTTCATAGTCACCTCTGATAGAGGTGAAAGGTGAGGTTCTGAGGCATGAGATGACTTACCTATGTTAAAAAAAAAAAAGACAAATGAGGCCCCAAATGAGGTCACTTGTGCTCAGACCCACATCACCAAACCGAGACTTAATACTTAACTTAATTCTAGGTTTCAGCCTCCTCCAGGAATAGAATCTTAGACCAGTCAATCTGAAATTTCTTGGCAAGTACTAGTGGGACCCTTGTTCTTCTGTGTTCCCAATTCCTTCTGCGCCATTTTATCTACCGGATGGGATGCTAGCCAACTCAGGAATCATTGAAATAAAGCCAACAAGATTTTTTAAATTTACTAGGTTGAATTATGTTTTTCGACACCTGGTTATATAGCTAAAGTATGGTAGAGTTGGGATTCAAACTCTGGTTTGCACATATGGACCTAAAATTCATTGTTGTTTCAGTTTGTTTTGATTTTTGTTTTGCTTAATGATACTTCATAAGCATGCTTTCATTTTTTTAATAGTCGATTAATTTTTTTATTTAAAAAGTGTTGATTACAGGACTACTATGTGCTAGGTATGGGATCTAATCGATACAAAGGCCACGTGGCTATTGAGAGGTACCAGAATATGCACACCCCCAAAATATACCTCTTTGGCATATGGAATATTTTGAGCTAAAGGTCATTGAGAACAAGCAGATGCAGGTAAAGCTGTAAAATCAGGGCACACATTTTCCTTTTGTAAGGTAAACTCACATATACAAAAAAAACAATGTTTCTATTTATCAAGATCTTTTTCCTAATACCTCTTATCAATAAAGAAGGCACCCACTTAAATCTGCACAACAAACCTTACAAAATGACCCTGTATGCCTTACTTTTCCTGGTCACCTTCCCATAACTTGCTTCCCCTGCCCAGAAATACCTACTTTGTCCTAGGTCATGGATATGACAGTGAACAAGACCCAGGGGAGCCTCAGCC